CTCTAATAATTTAATAAAACAGAAGAAATTGAGAAACTGTCAAACCCTGTGGAACACCTGGGGTTTCACCAAGATAACAAAGCTTGTTTTCTGCAGATGCTCAAGCTCTGGAAGAAAATTCACAGCAGGCCCAGGGCAGCCCAACCATCCGAAAAAAAAGAAAGTGAAATGAAGAACTGGACAGAGGGGAGTGAGGCAGACTATTAAACTTTGGAGACCTGGAAAAAATGCTTGTTGGTTAATAACATTAATAATCATCACCATAATGATAACGGTAACTAAATACTCTGATCACCCTGTATGAATATTTACACTCAGTTCTGTGGGTGGGTCTCAGTTTGTGGATGAGAAAACTAGGGATTAGAATAAATGAGAAATTTCTGTTTATGGCATCAAGGCATACTAAATAATGCAAAAACTAAAGTCCACAAAGCATTAGACTTGCTCAACAAAACAACACATCCTTCCAATCACAAAATGGCAGTTGCAAGTAGTTTGATTTTCAAGTGTCAAAATCAAAGGGTGAACTGCACATTAGAACAGTAAATAGATACTGCAGCTCTCCTGCGGGCTGCTGACTGGGACAAGTGGCCAGACTTACTGAGTGAGGGGCTTGGATTTGAATGGCCATAAGAGGATAAAAGATGAGGTGCTGAGCGTGCATGAAGTGGGCAGTTGGTACAGAGACTCCTCCACATGAAGTTAGGGACTTAAAAGAGTTACACCCTCCATGAAAAGAGACAACAGGAAGAAATTCATCACTGGGACAGGAAGACCACAATGAAATCTAACTATCTCTCCCAGGTTATGGGTGGGAAAAAATGGCTACCCTAAGAATTTGTATCCATGGGTCTTCAATCATAAGAGTTCAGAGTTCTAATATACACTAACTAGGTTACCCAAAATGAGAATCTAATACAAAAAATTATCCCAAGTAAGTGATATTTCCTAGGGCACCCAACAGAAACAAATGAAAGGACACCCCCTTAACCTGGACCATTCCCAAGTTCTATAAATAAAGTCTTTCCGAAAATGAGTTCATAATCCAAATTCCAACACAAAAAGAAAAAGTCCACCATGAACACCATGAATGAAAGTCATCAGTCACAGTAAACAATAAGTAAGAAAATCCCATGGACAGAGGAGCCTGGCAGGCTACAGTTCATAGGATCACGAAGAGTTGTACACGACTGAAGTGATATAGCGTGCCTGCAGCTTAAATGCATATATTGGAAATTTAAATTTGTACTCTAATTACCACAGAAGAAATAGTAGATGTTTTAAATAGTGGATATTTTCTGCCTTCCACAGAAATAGGGGATATTTTAAGACTTACTCTCAAAGGAGAAACTATTTAGGACTGAATGAAAATGAAAATGCCACTTTTCAAAACCTGTGGGAAGAAACTGAAGTTTTTAAAGGATATTTTGCAGCTGTCAATGCTTATTTATATTAGAAACACGGGCTGAACATTAATGAGCTGAGCACCAACCTCAACAAGGTAGAAAAAAAACAGAATGAACCCAAAGTACGTAGATGGAAGTTGAAAAGTTAGAGCAGTCGATGAAGTGTGAAACAAGCTTCCAATAGAGAGGTCTGGCAAAACACAAGATTTGGTTCCTTTTAAACCTGACAAAGTGATGAGAACAGGAGAGGCCAAGTAATGAAGTGACAGGAAGCATGGACGCTGGAGCTGATGGCCTTATTTGAGTCCCTACTCTATCACTGACCAGCTACGTGGCCTCAGGCATGTGACTTGTGGCTGGCACTGGTGAAGCCACAGGACAAACCCTGGACCATGGACCCTGGTGCCCATGCACTAACTCATTATCCCTACAATAGCACCTCTGAGTCATGTATTCAGACAGGAGTATCTTCCTCCCATAATGAAACTGGGCATTATTATCTCCATTTAATCAATCCTAAAGGAAATCAACCCTGCATATTCATTGGAAGGACTGTTGCTGAAGCTGAAGCTCCAATAATTTGGCTGCCTGATGGGGAGAACCAACTCATTAGTAAGGACTCTGATGCTGGGAAATATTAAATGCAAGAGGAGAAGAGGGTGGAAGAGGATGAGATGGCTGAATAGCATCACTGACTCAATGGACATGAATTTGAGCAGCAGTGGAGGACAGAGGAGCCAGGCATGATGCGGGCCCTGGCGTCAGACACAACTGAGCAATTGAACTACAGCAACAAACAAATGGAGAAACCAAAATTTGGGGGATGTAAGCAATTCTCCTCAAGTCATGAAATACAAACTGTTAGAACTGATCCAAGACCAGATTTTTCTGACCCCAAAGTCTGTCCTCTTAACTACCTGTGCTCGTCTGTAAAAGGAGGAAGATTCCTGTTGGCCACTCACTGTGCACTCAGCTTCAGGGAAAATGTCTTTTCTAATGCAAAATGTGAAAGAAGAGGACCAAGTACCCATTGCTCATACAGACAAGCTCCTGCTTTTAGTAATGATAACCCAGTGGTTAAGATTATGGGCTTTGGAATGATAAATAACAATTGGCAATTTTTATGTCAAGCATAATGTTAAACTCTTTCAATCCTCCTTTCAACATCCCTTTAATATTTTACATTTTGCCAATTTTATTTCATCGATCCTCCATCTCCACATCCATGTGTCTCCCATCGCTTCCCCCTTTCCTTCATTTCTTTACTGGAAAATTCTAGAATAAACCCTGGACTATGTATCATTTCATTTGTAAATATTTCAGTACATCTCTCATATGAAAAAAGCTTTTTTTTTTTTACAAAACATAACCATAATACTCTTATTACACCTTATATAGTCAACACTAATTTCTTAATACCATCCAACACGTATCCCACGTTCAGATTTCATTGACCGCAGAGAAAACAATGGGCAGAGACACACACCTTGCACGAGGCCAGCTTAACGGAGGGCCCAGGGGAAGGAGGGAGCTACTGTGGCTGGTAGGTGGTAAATCGTGACCCAGGACATCCAAGTGCCAGACATTCCCCACATGGGGGCCGGATGAGAGTGATCAAACCTGAGATGATGACTGAGGGCAGGTGAAGTGAAGGGAAATAAATGAATTCTGTTGACACAATTACATGCTGGGTTCTGTGCTGCCTACAGAGTGAAGCGATGCTCTTTCTCACATTGGATTACTCAGTTTTGCAGGGAGCTGTTGAAGTTCAATGGTTAAACTCCTGGGAACAAGTAGCCTTATACCCTAGAATTATCTACCAAGTGCCGCTTAATTTTATTACAGGGGAGAACCACAGACTTCCCCCATACTGGGCTGCCCTTGGGAATCAGAGATAGGGGCTGGGAGCAAAGCTCAGGAGCTTTTTTTTCACTTCTGGGGAGTCAGGACCAGGAGTATGGCTGTGAGTGCACGAGACAGGGCAAGGTACAATGTCAGGGAGGGGGTTCCTGAGCCATCAGTCTTTCTACGTGTGATTTAACACAGTAAGAGTTTATTTCTCATTCCTACAAAGTCCATCATAGGTTTGGGGTCTCTCCAGGACAGGTTTCCCTCTCCAATATAAGGGGCTTGACGTTCCAAACTGTTCTGATCTTGTGGCTCCTCTCTCTGTATGTGCTTAGGAGGCAGGAAAAGATAGCACTAGAATCCTGTACCAACAAATAAATGCTTCAACTAGGAAGTGAGATACCTGCTCACAACCTGCTGCTCAAAACTATTAATATCTCAGGATTCTGTCTAACCACAAGAAGCAAAAAAGTCTAACCACTCCCTTCTTACTTTTCACTAGGATACAAGCTCCAGGATGATGTGCATTTTGTCTCCTTGTCCAGTACAATATCTTTAGATAGAAGAGTACCTGGGCATGTTATTAAATTGAATCAAGGAATGTAATGCCAACAAGAAACACACCCTTATATCTTGGGAGAAGAGACAGAGTCCCAGGGGTGTGAGGCTGAGGGTGCTGGGTAAGATCTATGCACACCGGAGCTGCAGAGCTGGCTGTGCTTAAGGAATAATACGGCTTGGTGCCATTCATCTTAGAAAATGAAATCCTGCTGAGAACACCAGACCAACAGCTCGGGTGGTTTTACACCATCAAACACTGGAGCCGAGGCTCAGAGCAACTGAGCAAACCACCACCACGGGTGCTCAGGTCCCGGAAGGAGCTGCAATGACCACAAATGCATCTCTGAGCCATCAGTCTCACACACCCTTAATGTTCCAATAGCATCCTTTTTGCAGGTTCTAATATTGTCCCATAATACAGATCAAGAACTTCAGGTGCAAAGAAGTTAATTTCACACAGCTACCGATTTGCCGAAGCAGGATTACAAGCCAGGCCACTTAACACCAGAGCTTGTATTCTTTTATCCACACCAAACTCCTGGGGTCCAACTTTCTCGTTCACTGATTGGGAGTGGCAAACCCCACCGTCTCCCCAGAACTGTGCAGAGGAATGGAGGATGAGGGGACAAAGCTACCAGCACAGTATCTGGCACAATGATGATAATGGTGATAGCAGTGACAACTGGTACTTGCAAAGATACAGATACACAAAGATGTTACCACTACTGACTGCTTAAGAATAACTTACTACATAAAATCTTCAAAAAGATACCTTTTCTTCCCCATTTCACTCTCACAAACCTTCAAGAAGACATTTGTGCTCTATGTGAAAGCTAGTTTTCAAAATCAAAGTCATGGCATTTCACATTATATGAAGATATGAAGAAAAGCATTTAAAAGAATCTAACAAAACTATAGGGAAGTTGGGGGGAGGGGAGCTCACATTACTCAATGCAGTAGATGTAGCTTTGGACTTAATTTTCTAGAATTCTTGAAATATTAGTGATGGCAGTATAAAAGACCAATTAATCAGGTTGTTCTCTGTGTGTGAGTCCCTGTTGCCATCTACAGTTAAAAATGGGGCATGCAACGCTGCCAAATATCTAGCTCTAAAAACATAGTACTGGAGATGATGGTGCTAAGGAAATAGGCTTGTTTGATGGGCACAGAAAATGGAAATGGTACCTGGAGGAGCAGCTCTTTTTCAACCACCTCTTCTGTCTTGCTGATGAGACGCTTCTGCAGTGTATGTATTTTCTGTATCAGCTCAAAGGTACTGGGGTCACTGGCCTATTCAAGGGGAAAAAAATAAAGCAGCTGAGATTACCAGGCCCAGAGCACTGAGGTCCCTACAGAATTATTGGTCTATTAAAATTTATTGCAAAGTTGTAGACCCAATATAGACAAGAATCAGAAACAAGACACAACAAAACAAAATGCATTGCACGACAGAATGAGACAGTCATCAAAACAGACTGATGTTTGGCTAGTATCATCTGTTGTCCCTAGTGAGCCTGTAAGTGGAAAGTGAGTATGTTTATTCCACCAGGGCAAATAATAACAGCAGCAATGATGGCAGCTCCTGGGCCTAATAACCTGATTCTTTGCCCCATCTGAACACTATGTTAAGTGCTTTTCACACATTATCAAATTTTAGTCACTCGACAGTCCTGTTACACAGTATTACCTTCCCCTTCTACAGATAAGGCAACTGAGGCTCAGAGGAGGTCATTTACCCATGCTGATAAAGGTCAGAGCTGGATTCAAGCCCAGATATGCCTGGTTCTAAAGCCTGGGCTTCTTAATTACTATGCTCTGAGGTTTTCCCTAGCATCATTTGTTTACATTGGAATGAGACAGGGTTCCCTAACTCATTCGGTCTCAGGGTTCTCCTTTCATAATTGTCAACAAGAAGATTCATTACAGCCTATGATGGGGCAAGTTCCCAGGATGTGGAAGTCTGCTAATTATTAGCATCAGGACATGACTATGGCATTTAGCTTTCAAACGGCATTATCAATCCGTAAAGCTCTGAGGCACCTTCAGTAACTATATGTGTACAATTCAAACAAGATCTACTATTATACATTGATAATTTGCCCTCTAGACATTGAGCCAAAGGTTCACTTTCAACTATACTGACATTTGGAATTAATCTAGCAGCTAAATATTTTCAACTGCCTCCCAGAGTCTGTTTTCCAATTTTTTTAATAGAAATTGACATGGAATTGGAAACTTTAAGAGATCTGCTCGAAAACACATGGAATAAACTAATGTGACAGTAAATGAATTTACAGTTTTCATCTCTCTTCCCCAGACACATTCATGTTATTGTTAGTTTAGTAAACTACCCCACTCTTGGCATTTGAAGAGGAATAAATGAGGGTCCAAAAGGCGGAGATATTCCACTGACTATGACTTTGCTTAAGAAATACTAAGCAGTGCCAACTAATATCCATATTCTGGAAGTAGATTTGGCATACACATTCACTTGGCAAGACTGGACACTGTTAAAATTCAGGCCTCATGTTTACATAACAATTTATAATGCATTATCCTTAATGCTTTCTTCATTTAAAGGAAAAAATAAAAATGAGAAACAAAAACCTACTTGGCTGATTTTTCTCCTTTTCCTTGCTCTTTCTTATATCACATATGCCTATTCTCCCAACACTGTTAACTTAGTCAAAGCCCCTTCTTGCACCCACATTACTGGGTACTACTAGAGGAGATGGGCATCTTTTTATTGAATAAACAGAGCTTCTCTGTTACTGTTATCTGCTGGTGGAAATGAATCTCAGGAGGTCATAAAATAAAATAAGAGGTTTATTATCCATCATCTTCCAAAGGGACTTTGGCTGTGTCCCCAGATCCTAAAAGAAGGAGTCTGACGAACACAATACTAGTTCTTTGAAAAGAGGGCAAGTTTAAAAACTGCACTTCCTTTTGGGAAATAAAATGATGCAAAGGTTTTTAAAAACAAAACCCAAATCTGGAACAATCTAATTTACATTTGATCCAGTCTTTTACATTTTGGGTGACAATGGCACAGGTTAAATAAAACTGTGTTTGTTACTGCACTTTAGGTAAGAAGACAAGTCGGGTAGAGAGAGATTTGGGGGGTGGGAGGAAGGCTCTCCTGAATGTTACCTCAAGCTTCCTCCATCTGTGCACGTTCATGGGGTTCTCCAGTTCCTCCTCCAAGGCTCGGCATCTCGTCCTCTCCTTCAGGAACTCTCTTTGCGTGTGAAAAAGCTCCTGCCTAAATAAGTCAAACTTTCTTTAGCAAACAAATTCTCTGCCCAGTATTTGAGTATCCTTTCTTTACATGGTTTTGTGCATGCTACATCTTATAGAAAAAGATGGATTAGGGAGACTTCGGGAACACTGGGACCAGCCTCCTAAGGCAAGACACAGGTGATACCAATTCTTGCTGAGGGCAAACTTCAACTTTAGTTTTAGGGGGAAGAAAAAAGTACCAGGAACTGATTATTGATACCCAGGGAATTTTAGAGGTGTATGGAAAGAACAGGGAAGGGATAAATGATGAGGATTTCAATATATTATTCCACGTTTCTAAATGTCTTCTACAGTAGCAGTGAGAGAACAAGCTATGTTCTACCATGAGGTACGGCCCTGCAATGCAAGCGACTGAGGCTCAGGTGAAACCTGCCATCATTAAGACAGTGTATCACCACCCTGGCAACATACTGGAGTCACCTGGGGAACTATGACCACATGCCTTTGCTTGGACCAACCTCCAAAGGAGTTCTGCTTTAACTGGTCTAGCATGAGGCTTGGGTTTCATAGATCTTTAAAGTTCTGCTGGTAATTCTATTGGAGAAGGAAATGGCAACCCACTCCAATGGTCTTGCCTGGAGAATCCCAGAGACAGCAGAGCCTGGTGGGCTGCCGTCTATAGGGTCGCACAGAGTCGGACACGACTGAAGCAACTTAGCAGCAGCAGCAGCAGCAGCTGGTAATTCTAATGTGCAGTCAGTACTGACTGAAAAATACTGAATTAGGAGTGACCATTTGTCTCATGTTCCACAACAACAGGTAACCAGAGTCTACAACCATCAACTGACTGCCAGTCTATTGAACGAGAAGTTCTGTTGGGAGGCCGAGCAGAGGCAAGCACTCAGGTTGACACGGGCAAGAAGGATATTATTATCTGTCCTCGTCTGCTGCGAGTGTGCAGATTACTAAAACCAAGCCATCTCTTTTACTCAATTGCTTCATTTAAACCAATAATACAACTTCCCCTCATTAGCAAGATAAACCATTAGAATTAACTGCATGATGCTCACTCAACAGGGAGCTCAGAACAAGCTGCTCAGAATTAAAAGCATATTTTTAACACTACTATTTTCTAGAGTGTCATCCTCAGAGAAGGACAAGGATATTGGGTACTGTGATTGATGATTTCTTTTGCACCAGACTCTATGCTAGGCACATTACATTTTCATGTTTAATTTCAACAAATTTAAAGCTCAAATAAGTTGTGATTTGCCCAAGGTCACACAGCTTGTAGGTGGCAAGTCTGAGATTGGAATTCATGCCAGCTTGCCTCCAATATCTTTATTAAGTTTATTAAATTCCTTTATAAGGAATTCCTAGGTGGCTCAGGGGAAAAGAATCTGCCTGCCAATGCAGGAGAGGCAGAAAATTTGGGTTCTATCTCTGGGTCAGAAAGATCCCCTGGAGGAGGAAATGGCAACCCACTTTAGTATTCTTGCCTGGAAAATCCCAAGGACAGAGGAGCCTGGCCATCTACAGTCCATGGGGTTGCAAAGAATCGAACATGACTGAGTGACTGAACATGCACCTCCCACTATAAAGATAAAATCTAGTATCAACAGACTGATAATGTGTAGAATGTGGTGCTGTGCATATGTAATAAAAATAACACATGGCTGGCAAGTTTGTGTTAATCACTCAGTTGTGTCCAACTCTTTGGGACCTCATGGACAGTAGCTCACCAGGCTCTGCTGTCCATGGAATTCTTCAGGCAAGAATACTGGAGTGGGTTGCTATTCATTTCTCCAGGGGATCTTCCAGACCCAGAAATCAAACCCAGGTCTCTTGCATTGCAGGCAGATTCTTTACCAACTAAGCCGCCAGGCAAGTTTAGTGATGGTCCTGGAGACCATTCAACAGTGTCTTAGAGTAAATCCAATTGCCTCCAAAATGTCAATGGTGGTATCTCTGGATAGGAGACTTATGAGTGATTTTCTAATCCCTTCTTTACATTTTTTCTGCATGCCCCTTATTTTCTACAATGAATTTGTATTACTTTATTGTCTGAAATATGAACAACTCTTTAAAAAAGAGAGTATTGATCTATCCTTGATGGTGGCAACTTCCCTCGCTATTCCCAAACGTATTCACTGCATCTAAATATCAAAACTATCTAATTCAATTAATTTAAGAAGCAGATCCAGACTGTGTCCTTGTCCCAAGGTAGCCAAGGATACTGTTCATCTACAAGTCTGTGGAGGATAAGAAAGTTACTGAGAAAATACCAGACCTACTATTTGGTTTCCTGCAATTGCCCATATAAAACATGGTGATGTTTTCCCAAAGGGAAAGTAGATCTTGTATAATGTAAGATTTAAAGCAAGAAGAAGGCGCACTAAGCTCAAGTGAAAGCTGCGGAAGATAAATCAAGAGTGAGATGTAAAATTTGGCTGCCTTCTAAGGAAACAGAGTTTTCAAATAGTGATAAAATTAAAATTTCCCCCCTTTCCATTCTGTGTGTAATTCCAAGAAAAAGATGTGCAAATGTTACCAGGATTCAATTTAAATATTGATGTTCCATCTCTTGCATAGTGCCTTATTAAAGAAATTCTAAAGAGCTCATTGGGGGAATTTTTTTCTGAATTGTAACTACTTTGTGGTTATGATTTAACTGAACTTTCTTTCACTAAATCCAGAATAAAGTTTTCAAAAAACACTTTTGCACTTGCCTACGTTCCTCTGAAAGGAAATGAATTCATTTTTTGTGACATAGAATGGACACGATGTAGATTATGGGTTATGGAAAAGTTTTTCTCATTATTTCTTAATTATTTCAACATAAAAAATTATTTTATGCAACCAGAAAAAGACTTTCAATGGCCGGGACTACCCTGATGGTCCAGTGGTTAAAACTCAGGGGACCAATGCAGGGGACCCAGGTTTGATCACTGGTCAAGGAACTAGATCCCACATGCTGTAACTAAGACCCGGGGAAGCCAAATAAATATCTTTAAAAAAAAAAAAAGGCATTCAGTGACCAACAGGAGGAACATAATAAGGTCCTTAGGAAGTCCCCATAGGCTGCTATGCGCTCACCTCCGAGGGGGTCTTCTATTACCTGAGTTCATCGACATTGGCCACACTCCTGGCAAGAATCCCTTTCTCCCGGCGAAGCTTCTTGATCTCAAGTTTGAGGATTCTCATGTCCTCCAATCTCTGGTTATACTGGCTCTCGCCTTTATTCAGCACAGACTGCTGGATCTTGATCTTCTCATAGAGCAAAGCCAACTCATCATTGCGCCGAACTAGCTGCGACCCAAGGATATCTCTCTCGCTGATGACCTAGAAAGGTAGGGCAGGGCATGGCCACTGGGGGACAAAATGTCCCACGTTTCATTACAGCAGCAGCATTCAGAGAATCAATGAATACCCATTCAGTGTCTGCATGTGCTAGGCACTCAGTAGGTGAGGCACTGAAAATAACCTGCTAGACAGCCAATACTGGACTCTTCCCACAAGAGTTGGCAGTCTTGTTGAAAAGAGTACAACAAATTATATTATTAATAATAATAGTCCATGGTCCATGGGTTTTTTCCAACATGTTACCGTATGTGTTGAAATCTGAACGTCTTTAGGGTGGGCAAGCTCTTGCCAAGTTCTACCACTCCTTACTGTCTTGTACCACATGCTTCCCTGGTGGTGCAGATGGTAAAGAATCTGCCTGCCATGCAGGAGACCTGGGTTTGACTCCTGGGTCAGGAAGATCCCCTAGAGAAGTGACTGACTACCCACTCTAGTACTCTTGCCTGGAGAATTCCATGGGGAGAGCTCTGGCAGGCTACAGTCCATGGAGTCGCAAAGAGTCAGACATTACTGAGTGACTAACACTTTCACTTTCACTGTCTTGCACAAGCCAATGTCTCTTTTTTTTAACCTGCTAGATCTTTGAAAGCATTTAAGTTTCTAAGCCCCCAAATTATGTAATTACTCATTGTAATTATATGCAACAATGACATTATGCTAGAATGTAAACCCCCTGAGGGCAGGGTAACTTATTTTCTTGTTGGTCAGTATATCCCCAGAGCCTAAAGGGGCGGGTGACACACAGGAAGTGCTTGTAAATAGGAGCAGAATAAATGAATGGATATTTCATAATTAATCAACAGGAAGTGGGCCTCTGGGGCTGTTCTGAGACTCAGTGGAAGAGCTCAGAAAAGCATGAGGTTTTGTGAGGAACTGAATCAAACAATTGTGTCTGCTGATAGAGTCTGCAGGTCTGGGGAGGTGTGGTCTCTTCCTACCTGGTCCAACTCCTTCTTTTGTCTCAGCCTCTCGCCATCAGCCTCTGCTATAATTCGCAAGAGTTTTCTCTCCTCGGCTTCCTGCTTTTCAATGAAGTGTTTGGTCTCCAGGGCTTGTTGTCTCAGCTTCTGCAGCTCGGCCTGACAATGAGTGAAAGATACAGACCGATTTCACTCTGTAACAGCATAAACCAGGTCGGCAGGGCCCAGATTTAGATAGATAGTGTGCTTCTGATACTTCCCTGTGATGTCTCGTTTAGCATGGTTTGATCACCCTCACAAGCAAAGAAAGCTTAACATACACACACACACACATACACACACACACACACAAGGCCTGTAAAGAAACAACAATGCATATTACAGTGATCATGTTTATTCTGAGTTGTGCCCTTGAGGGATTTCCCTCATTTTTCTATATCAGTATAGCAGGAACCTCATTGGTATTCAACAGCAGTTCTCATACCAGCTAAACATGAGGAGAATCCACAAATAGTACAGAGAAGGATGTGGGGGGTGAGCATGGTGGGGGAGGGACTGGGTGGAGGTATATCTGTACGTATCAGCTCCTATAACAATCCTAGTATCATCAGAATATCAATTGCAGAGGTAAATTCTATTATAAGCAAAATGTAAATTAATAAAGATAACAACCAAATGACTGTCTTATAAAACATCCTGATGGAATAGAAGAGATTGTCTTAGGAGTAGGGTCTATATATCTTTTATATATAGACCCTACTCCTAAGACAATTCCAATCTAGATGAGAAGATGAGATATACAAGTATTATGCAAATATTAACAAGTCCAGACAATAATGTTTCAGAATCTTTGTTGTCACACAGACAGTGAATTAATGCCACAGGAGGTCAGAGGACTGCATCTGTTAGGAAGGCTTCCTGGAAGAACTCAGATCTTGAGGCTACATGGAAATCCTAAGAGAAGCAAGGAAAGGCTGCTTTGACTGGTAAATTTCAGAAGGAAAACTCCTCTCATCACAGGACACATTTGCTCCAAATCCATAAGTATATTTGTGGCTTACAACACCTCTGGCATGATATTAAGTATTGTGCCTAGCTACTCTTGTCCCAATTTCACAAATGCAATTAGAGACAAAGAAGAGCAAATCAACCTGCTCAAGGTCACGAAGCTAATAAGAAGCAGAGTTGAGATTCCAACCTAGAATTTTTCATTCCAGAGTTTCTGTTCCCTCTGCTATCACCATACAATAGTTCCAAGTCAAATACAGAAGATGAGTAAGACGTGAGGGATTCACCACCCACTGGAGATGACAAATATAACCAACCACCCTACAGTGTGGAAATGCTCTCTACTGTGAAGAAGGACATGGGAGTACAGGACAGAGTTCCTATTTCTTCCTGGGGTTTAGAGAGAAAAACAAGTCTGGGCTTTGGCAGTTGACAGTTATTTCTAAAAGGGTGATGTATGTGGCGGGGGAGAGCAGTCAGTGGTCAGGCTCACGTGAACAGAGGCATGCAAACGATAAAGCACCTGGTGTGTTTACCAGATGGCAAAACATCCAGTGTGGCTGAGCTGGAGTACTAGGTAGGGAACAGCAGGAAGTAAGCCTGGTAAAATAGCTGAGACAACCTGAGAAGGGCCTTCTACGCCATGGAGAGTATGCAGTGGGCAGCCAGAGAGTTAATCATAATAGAGGAAAGAAAAATACAACTTCGAGGTTCCATGCCCATGTAAGGACAGGTGATATCACAGCCAGGTCAGCACAAGAAGGAAAGATGGAGGAAGAACTCTGCTTTCACCCACACCTAAAATCACAAGGGAGAGGACAAGACAATATTAAGCCTCCAACTTTTCAATGGCCTGCAGGTCAACATGTGAAAATGAAAAACTAGTAACTTTTTCCTTCAAGGAAGAATTGGGTTTCCCCCACCTCCACCTACCCAGAAATGTCACAAAAGGGATGACAGAAAACCAAATACTTGCAAGTGAGTACCTGTGAACCAACCCAACTCTAGTTGCCACCTGCCTCTAATCTATGAAGACCAAGAGTCATTAATCCCATAGCTCAAATTTATCCAAACAGTACAAGATGCCGCACACCCAGCAATAGATCTGTAATGTCACAAACTAAATGCAGCTAGCTACTATAAAATACAGGGTTTCCTTTATGATATTTTGTTTGCTCATTCATGAAATGTATTTTGGTCCAGGGACAAGCAAAGGGAAACAGTTAATGAAAAAAGATCTGGTCTGGTATTGTATTTACCACTTTGGGGGATTGCCTGTTAGGAAAGAGAGTCAAGAACCAGCCTTTCTATTTCTATAATCATTTAAGGTGACGGCGAAGACAGCAATAAAATACCTGTTTGGCTCATGCTTCCTTTAATAAAACTTTTATTTTCCCAGATGTGCAACATTCACTTCCCTATTCCTAAGTGCCGAGAGCTGATCAGAATCTATCAGCAGAACAAAATGAAACCGCTGTTATATTAAAATGCAATCAATGGTGTGTAAAAGTATCTGTCTAAAATGCAAAACCGTTCGTGTGTTTGGCATTGCTTGGTGCTTTTTTCCTAGTATATAAAAATTCTGAGTGGTCTCCTTATGTCATAAATTTATGGGCTGTAAACAAGATGTGGCATTAGACATTGGCAGCAAATGTTAACATCAACAAAATACCTTAGGTCTAATGCATTTAACAGTTGTAAATCTGAGCTGTCTTATCCAGGAAAGATGGTAAAAACTACTGTGCACCCAAAGCTCATCAAGAAACATTCTAGATGGGACCCGAGGCATAAAGCTGTAATATGATGGCAGGACAAGCTCTTGAGTCACCACTTCTACAATTATACAGTTTTGTGATAGGTGTTCATGGCGTGTGTATCACCCAATCTGGCTGCGGGCATAAATCACATCTCAAGAACCACACTTGGGAACTTCTCTGGTGGTCCAGTGGTTAACAATCAGTCTGCCAGCTCAGGGGACACAGGTTTGATCCCTGGTCTGGGAAGATTCTACATGCTGCAGGGCAACTAAGCCTAAGGGCAGCAACTATTGAGGACATGTTCTAGAGCCCAGGAGCCATAGCTACGGAAGCCCGCGCACCCCAGAGACCACGTGCAATAAAAGAAGCCACTGCAGTAAGAAGCCTTTGCACCACAATGAAGAGCAGCCCCACGCACAGCAACCACAGTAGCCCCTGCTCGCCTCAACTAGACAAAGCCCTGTCAGCAGGAAGACCCAGCGCAGCCAAAAATAAACGAATAAATTTTTTAAAAAAAAAGAAACATACTTGAGGGAGTCTGACCCCTTCATACGGGATCCCAACATTCACTGGGTTTCACAGAAACCATCTGTTTATATTCTGCAAAATAAATAGGACCACCTGAAGTCTTCCAACCACGAGAATAATTAGGCTTTCTCTCTCTCTCCCTCACCCTCCCTCCAACAGTTCCCATCCATGTTGCTCTAGAGAGTCCACTGAGGACAAGGATATGGTGCCCTGAAGCCAGTTGCTAATGTGACGCTGAGCTCTGGACACAGAGAATTTGCTGCTGAATTATTCACCAAGAATCAAAGTGCTGTCAGATTGATGCGGGATGATGGGGTGGTGATGAACAGAATCGAGAGCTTGTTAGGACTGGAAGGCAGACACTCCACATGAGATGGCCCCTTTAGTGCTGATGAAACAAGACAGGGACAGAATGGGCAGATGAACACAGATGCAGCAACATCTACAAAGAACTATTGACATTCTGTCATAACCATCATGTGCTGATAATGTCTAGAATCCTGAGGAGTCTGTAGAGCCTGGCAGCAATTGAAAAGGAAACATGGAAGAAGCAAGACTTTTCTATCGGCAGGCGGGGGATGAATGAGGACGGGGATGATCTCTTACGGACAATTGTTTGTCGTGAGCTTGGAGAAGCGATAAATTGGGTTGTCCTGTCAAAAAGCATCTCACGGTCTACCAAACAGGCTAGGGCTTGCCCTTCCAGGAGGGATTATGTACCAACATAGCTTTGTATAACTCACTATAATAAGCTACATGTCTCTCATGGAGCAAAGTTACTAAAAAAAAAAACAATCTGCCCTTTCCTCCAGGGTTTTGGTTTGCAAAGCTCAGATGCATGAAATTCAGAGACCTCTGTAAACACGATTCATCTTTGAGGCTAAAAAAGTCAAGAGGCTGAAACTCAACATTGGAGCTGTCATATTTTTCTAAAGGATGTCAAATGGGCTTAATGATAGGCCAAAATTATCCACTCGAAGCACCATTGCAAGCCACTGTTGGATAACCTCAAATAATAAATCAAGGAGGGAGCCTTTTGTCTGTCCCTAATTCCTGTCTTAATGGAAAAAGCTGAGGAAAAGGCATCCTAGTTTCACAGTAAGTCCAAAGCAATCATCTTCCTATAATCAATGACACAAAGCTATCCAGACCTAGGATTCACCATTTGGAGCAGACTTTCTAGAACAGAAGCCCTTTAATCATCTCCCTTAGTCACCAGCTGCCAACTCTGCTGGCACAGGACCAAAGAAACAGAACTTTATTTTATTATGATTAAAATAATATAAAGTTTATGATTTAAACTTTATTTTATTATAAACTTTATTCCTTTATTTTATTATGATGCTTCTTTGGAGTTATATGTATAGACATCTAATGATGGAGGGTGTAATTGAAACAAATATTAACCAAAGTCAAACTAAGGAATCAGGAATAATTCCTTTTTTGCATAGGACATTGCTTATTCTAAAGCAGGACTTTGTCTTCCTTGGACCCCATTATGCAGCAATAATTAGTCTTTTGAAAAGAGCATTCCTTGGAAAGTAAGAGATGAGGATCAATGTCATCCTCTGGAAGGTAGGGATGATGTACCAAATCCAGTTACACTGAAGCCTTGCTAACATGGGTCCATGAGGCCTGTGAGTGAAGCAGTGTTTGCAATAAGATTAGTCTGATTCAGCCAATGATAAACACCATCCCACCATAGACTTCCAGGGTGGAACAAACAACCTCCTATAAAACTATTAATATGCTTTCAAACAAGGAGAATAAGGGCAAAGATGCAAGGTATTTTCAAATTTCTTTATATGTAAATAAATTTTAGTACAGAATTTTCTGTTTTTTTCTATCAGGAGCTGGAGTGAGGAGATGAAAGTCTTAGGTAAATATATCAATTACCATATTTTTATTGTAAAGGCACTTTCACCACATTTTAATTTTTCTCTATCCTCATGTGCCTTAACTTAATTTAATGTAGTAGTTCTAGTTCCATGAAGACATATAATTAAGTTGATAAAACCTATTGTTAATCTGAGAGTGCATATTTCAATCTACAGCATCATAGAATCAAGGAAATTTGACATTAAATCTGTCCAATGCTACATATTCATTTTCAAGATAGGAACTATCTTTGAAGATAATCATGTGCAGAAATTCAGTCTTCCACCAGCTATAGAAGTTTCTGCAAATGGCTCATAAACATACACATTTAAGAAAATAAAAGTGGCACTATTCTCTTAGAAGTTTCATTTTTAATTCTTTGGTCAAATGGATTAGAAGGGAAATTTACTGGATTGGCTAGGAAAAGGTAAAAACATTCGGTTTAGTGAATATGTACAGTAAAATGTATTTAATTCAAAGTTTTGATACGGTATAATTATTTGGCATATATTTGGGGGACAAGTCTTTATGTTATATTAGTAGACCTAGAATGTTCTAAATGTGTAGATTTAAAAGGATATATCTTAGCAATATGTGAAGACAAAGGTGGTTCCCTAGAGGAGAGGCTGCAAAGTTCTTAGACTCACAGAAGTAAGGTGATCCATGAACCCAGTTGAGGGCCAAACAAGTAAGGACAAAGTCTGACACCTGGTAGACAATGATGTCGCAGGCAGAAAAGACACGTGCACAAGAAGTAAATAAGTATCAGGGCAGTGGCACAAAGGATTCTGCCAGCATTGTCTCATAGAAGCCCTAGGGAGTTCGGGAGGGTTGAGTGCAAACAAAGGGCTGGACTTGAGTTGTAAATGCAAAGAGATGGTAGTGAGCCTGAAAGTGCCAGGACTTCCTGGGCACTGCTGACCTGCTAGGTTCTCTTCCACTGATGCCATGATAACCAGCACAGCATCTCCACTGCCCCCTTCCCACTCTAGCTGGGAGCACTCCCTGTAGGGAAGACAGACCTCGAGGTGGTGGAGTTCATCCTCCTGATGCTTTGGTTGTTCTCCCAGCCCCCCGGCTATCCTCACTGAGCAGGGAGCCTGGCCCCAGTGGGTCTAAAGGACTGACAGCTGGCTCATCGCCTTCATTATAAGGTCTGTACCTTCAGGGTTTCCTTCTCCTTTTCTATGCGCTGCTGTTCCAGATGTAGTTTCACAAGCGCCGACTCCTTAGCTGAGATTTCTTCTTTCAATTGATCTACCTGATGGGTCATAATCTTTAATTTTCTCTTCATTTCTGTTATTTCATCCTAACAAAATGAAAGGAGATACGTTTGAAAGTGAATTAAATAGACATCATCCACTATGGAAGCTCAAGACATAGTCAGGAGCTTTTAAGGGAGATTCATTTAAAACAATGATTTCCTGACCGATTACAACTGGGTATCTTGTGCCCACAGACCCCAAAGTATTTCATAGCATTAACTCTCCAAATATTCTCATGAGATAGATGTAAAAACACATAATGAACATGCCATACACATACACACATGCACACACTTCACTCCTCGCTGTATAAGAGACAAATTGGAATCACAACAAACATTTTTAACTAAAAAATTACAAAGCAAAACTCCGCACTTAAATGACAAGAGTATGCTGCTCCCCTCTGAGTCATAATAGCTATTAGCAGTTTTAAAAATGAGAAACAGAGAATGCAATTCTATATAATAATTAAAACCAGGGCCACGATCTTCACATCTGATCAAGTTGTGTCATTTCCATTTCAAACAATCTGACAGTTCTGCATAAACTGATCTTCTCTTTCAGGATAATTCCTCAATTTCTTTCTCAATCTACTGTAAATTCTGCTATTAGAATAACAGAAACTGCTTTAAACCCAACATGGGAAGAGAGCAAAATGTAAAGACATAAATATCTTCTTTACCTGAGCCTCAACCAGATTTTTACTATACAGATTCCTGTCTGACCTCACAGCTTCATACAGGTTCTGTTGCTGTTTTAATTTAGTCTCTGATTCAGCAATTTTTTTCCTATAGTCAAAAATCTGCATTTCACGAACTTTTATGTCTTCCATGTTCATGAGGACCTGGAGAAGAAAGAAGTAATAAAGATGGTTAAATAGCCCATCTGTGGTTATTGGTTCAGGACAAACAGATTTTGCATCTCAGGGTAGCGAGCAGAAATGCCAGCAATCAGAAAATCTGACTGTGGCTATAATCACTGCGGTACAACACAGAAGTTCAGCCCAGCTGATTAGGGGCAAACATATACTTTATCTACAGCACCGTTCTGCTCAAGCATGACGGCTTAGCACAGTTATTCTGTGATCACAAAACAGAAACGAAAAAAAGAAATTCTTTCAATTCTGAAAACCTCTCTTGCCCACCCCAACCACCAAAAAAGGAAAGGAATAAAAAAAAGCACAAGCTTAAACAGATCTTAACACAAAGCACTAGGAATGGTAAGAGATAGATTAGCTGTTGGGCCACAGTTGTGGCTTTATAAGGTTAACCACAATAAAGAAAAGTGACCTCTGACATTGATAGCAATCATAACGCTGTCTACCAATGTCAAACTCACTCCCATCAGGGAAACCCAAAAGACTTCATAAAAAGGTGTTCTACTGTGTGCAAAACACTTTGAGGCAAGATGAGATGCAGAAGCAGCTGCCTCTTTTTTGCAAGTATGGAAAACCGAGGCCCAAAATTCCACCGTGAGCCAATGCTTCTCGACAAGCAATCCACACAGTAGAAATGACATCATCATGACTCTTAGCTGCAATGACCATGGAAATTGATTTTCTAAGAACAAACTTCTTCTAAAATTCCTTAAGAAAAAAAATTTTGCAAGGAAAACTGGTTGAATGAATTTAGCTTATGCTTTAACAACAGCTAGAACACACAAGGAGAAAATTCTTAAGAATATTTCACTGCATTTCAGTGGAATTCTCTTAATTAATGACTGCAGTTGAAGGAAATAAACAGAGAAACATGACAGAGAAAGAAGGAAGGGAATGCACTTGAAGTAACACGGCCAGGGAAGCTTCCTAGAAAGAAGAGATTTACCTAGAACCTAAAGGTCAGAAAGGACTTAGCTCTTTGTCATGCTGATATTACGATTCAGGTTTCAGATACCTGTGAGCATCATGTTCCCAATCCCCAGTCATTGCAGTAGCGAATCCTTTTACTCTACTTATAGAATTAGTATTCCAGAAAATATATTCTAAGAAATCGTCTTCTAAAGTTTCCCCAACAGAGTTAATGATGGCTGGTGTCTAACATATTTCCCTTTATATCTTTAAATAGTGAAAGAAGTGTTAGTCGCGTCCAACTCTTTGCGACCCCATGGACCAGGCTCTTCTGTCCATGGAATTCTCCAGGCAATGTTACTGGAGTGGGTTGCCATTCTCTTCTCCAGAGGGATCTTCCCAATTCAGGGACTGAACCCAGGTCTCCTGCATTGCAGGCAGATTCTTTACCATTTGAGCCACTAGTGAAATCCATTATCTTTCAAAGTTTTCTTAGATTTATATTTAAGGAAGGATGGAGTCAAATCTTAATAAATGTCTTTTTAGCATATATTATTTTGCACTGCCCTATCGGTTCTATTGATCTGATATACTTAGTAACAAATGTCTTCTTTTACAAGTATTCTGATTTTATTTCTTTATTCATAGTCCCATATGCCGTAATTCTGAATAAGTGCATAAATGGGAAATAAACATTTATTTTCTTTTCCTTATTTATTTGAACCTTCTTCTCCCTTCCACCCACATCAGTCCCTCATTGACATAGAAAGAAACCAGGTTAATGATCCAGTATGTGTTCTTCCATATTTTTCTTTGAATTCTGCATATTCTATTTAGGTCTACTAATGTCTTTATCATAATAATAGCTAATATTTCTCAGGTACTTTCTATATACTGAGGATTTTACAGGTATTAACTCATTTAATCTTCACAAAAATCCTCATAGATGTGCATTATCATATCCCAGTTTTACAAATAAGGAAACTGAAGTCAAAAGAAGTAATGTAGTTCACAGCTAGCCAACTAATGAATATACAGGTACAGGGGTTTGTTTTCCTTTTGCTTTCTGAATTTGGTCTTTACTTTTCAGCAAAGTGGGATCCTCATATATTTTTATGCACCTTGCTTTTTATACTTTGTGGGAATATGGTAGAGTAGCTCTAATTCATTCTCTTTAAAAGGAACATAATGTCCTCGGTGTAGGTGAACCCCTCCCCTCTGATGGGCATTCACTTGGCTTCCATTTTTTTGCCAGTCTGAAACATGCTACAATAAACATTTTATACATGTGTTCTTATGTTCTTGTTCTTTTACTTCTGTTGGGATGGATTCCCAGAAGAGAAGTATGTGGCTCAAAAGACATATATATTTTTAACTTTAATAGACACTGCTAGATTGCTTTCAAAAATGACTGTACATTTTACATTTTCATACCACTAGCAACAGTTTTCTTAATAGAAAACTATCCTTGTGGTTTCAGGATAAACCCTCTTTGGTCATACTGAATGATTCCTTTTAATGTACTGTTGAATTTGGTTTGCTAGAATTTCATTTAGGATGCTACATACATATTCATAAGTGACTTAAGTCTATAGTTTTCTTTTTGGTTCTATTTTAATATCAAGATTTCTGCTAGTTTCATAAAGTGAGCTGAATACCCTTTTGTTAATTCATTCAACCACTCGCCTACTCATTCATTCACTCATTGAACATGCATTGAGGACCCATCTATGGCAGGCACTATAAAAGCACCAGTGATGTAGAGAAAAATAAGATACATTCCCTACCCTCAAATTCACTTCTAGTGAGTAACTCCACTGTAAAATGATAATCAAGGAATGGATTCAACCAATAATCTGAGATATGCACAGGGTATTATGAGAGAATTAAACACTGGGAGGGTAATAGGGTGGCCATACACATCTTATCTAAGAAGTTACTATTTGGTATTTACATAATTTGTGAGAACTACCTCTTCCTTCTTGTTCCTAGATCATCCCACCCAAGGACTCATTCATCCCCAAGCTTTCTCCAAGGCCTGGAGTTTTTGTTCAGTATCACAGCAGAAGGCATGGGTTAGGTCAGTAAAGTAATGCCAATCAATACTGCCTCCAAGACCAACACAGCACTGTAAAGCAATTATCCTCCAATAAAAAATAAATTAATAAAAAAATGAAATAAAGAAATTCCAACAGAAAAAAAATTTACCCCCAAGAATACATAATACATTTTTCTAAATTCATACACACAGAGAAATAATTTACATAGCCTGGGAATTATCTGATTCTTAAAAGTTTGAAGGAACTCAATTCTAAAATAATTAGACGCCCAGTGACAACACTGGAGCTATTGCTCTCTCAGATGTTTTGGTGGCTTCCATGGTTATTAATCTTTCTATGGTTTCTACTTCTCCTTGAGTCAAGCCTTGATGTGTGTACATATTTTCAGGAAAAATATCTATTTCAACCAATCTTTTACATTTATGCAACCAGAGTTGCACAAAGTATTTTTTTATATTCATTCATTCATTCGTGTGAATGCTGCACCAGGTCTTAGTTGCAGCACGTGGGATCCTCAATGTTGAAGGCAGCATGTGGGTTCTTTAGTTGTAGCATGCAAGATCTTTTATTTGCAACATGTGGGATCTAGTTCCTTGGCTAGGGATCAAACCCAGGTCCCCTTCATTGGGAGCATGGAGTCTTAGCCACTGGACACTAGGGAAGTCCTTGTACAAAGTATTTTATATTATTTTGCTGTTTTATTTTTATTAATTTCCATCACCCACTTTGTATGGAAAGAAAATGGCCCAAGCTAAGAATATACACAGACTCAGTGATGAATGGCTTGCATTGTTGGTTAAGGGGCTTGAAGAAAGAAGAGGCATGCAGGTAGATCTGAAATGAAGACATTTCACTCCTTCTTCCATCGTCTCTTTGATCTGTCCCTTTAGAATCCTTGAAAATGAGTAGCAGGTGGCCTTTTAAGGTACCAGCACTAGCAACTAAAATGTTTAAGTTAGGAACAAATGGGAAACCTAAATAAGGTATCCATTCCTGGATCTGTTACTTGTTTGATTTTTTTAAAGAAAGACACTATCTTAGCCCCAAATGTAGCCTTTCTATGGACATGACCACCTTCGTTGGGGTCAGTGAAATGAATAGATTGAAAATACTTTGAACAACATCATCAGCATTCAGAATATCAAGCAGCACATCAGAGAAAAAGAAAAAAATTGCTTGTTCAATCACTTTGAGAAATATTACAGCAAGAATAATCCTTTGCACAGACAGAATAATGCTCCAGAGAAAAGACGTAACCAAGGGCATTTCTTTCTGGGGCACCCAGTTAGCCGGGTTCATCCTTTTGCAAACAACAGTACACAAAGTCTAACACAAAGTTCTTGAAGCTGGGTGTAGCAGGAACCCATCATGATACCAAAGAGATCAAAGGTTATTTTGTTTAAATGACAGCAAAAATTTTTAAAGTATAGAAGCAAAGGGAAAAGACAGTTCACAAAGCAATATAGTTCTAAGTGTTGGGACTCAATTTGTTTTGAGGGAAATCATTCAAACCGATGTCACATAGAGGTTCAAATCCTGAAAATTCATAAAATGTGCGGAGTATCAGGTAGACACAAAACCCTTCATCAGCAAAATGTTCCCAGTTTCAAAGGCAGAGAATGCAGAATGCAAGCTATGGGTCTGGAGCTTAATTAATTGATTATACTTTAGATACCTCAAACCAACTCTGAGATAAATCACATCCAAATATAGAGTTTTATTACAGCCAGAGGGTTGGAAAGCCTAGCATGTGGAGGCCTACTTCAGAGGAGACCAGAAAATGCTTACAGTGCACTATGAGGGTACAGTCTCTGTTTATAACCTACTACCTTTTCTTTTTTTGTTAAAGCAACCTGCCGATAGAAATAATAGTGAGATAAAAATCAATAACGTGTGCAGGAAATCTGCAGCCATAGTCAAAACACCATATGTACTAAGACAGGAAGAGAAAGTAGGTCACTGAATTTGGAATCTTTTAACTTGCAATTGATGAAATAT